TATCTGACCACTTCATGTCAGATGTTTGGTGACAACCAAAACAGCCAAAAAAATTGGTGTTATAGTTTTGTAACTGCAAAACTTTGAGAAAATTTCTGAATATTTCTCGTGATAAATTTCTCTAAGTGGGATCACTTGGTCAAGGGACAGGGTCTTAATTGATACTGCCAAATTCCCTTCTGGGAGGCTGTACTACACTACATTTCTACCAGCAGTGGATGAATGTGGTGATTTGCTTGCACCTTTGCCAACCTTGCATAAAAAAAAATGCTACTCTATCAGCATTGTTATGTGAGCCTACTTTAAAGCTGTCCACTTGTCACCTCCAGTCCCAAAGTAGGAGAGCACCTGTGATTCTTAATCGGTCTTTTAGTTTTCAAAGTGATTCCATCATGTACTTGTAACCTAGTGCAAAGTTCAACCTAATTCTTCAGGTGTCCATGCATTAGACCTTTCCAGATCTGCTGTAGCTTCTTGACTTCTGAGGAAGAAAGTTATTTCATCGTACTAGTTGGATTAAGGTCAAAAGTGCACTAAATTTACAATTGCTTCCTTACCGTGAGAGGGGGTGGCATCCAAATCACAGATCTATAGAAAATTCCTTCATTCCTGCTGTGCCCCTCACCTCGCCATCCTGAGTGTAGTCCTCAAACTTTCATTTAACAGGTCGTGGGCCTTAGTTCCTTCAAATAGCAATTCAGAGCAGACTGGAATCAAGACTGCCTAGTCTGAGTTCTAGCTTTCACAGATTTGTGATCTTGGCCACGTGACCTAAACCAATCCTTAGTAAAGAAGAAAAACATCAGAGGGTAGTAAGTGCTGCATAGAGAGTTTAAAAAGGGTGATAGGGTATAGAATGACAGAATGGCTACTTTATATTGTGGGCCTGGACACGGATATGGCCTCTCTCGGGAGGTGATGATAAACCGATACCCAATGAGAAGAGTGAGCAAGCCTAGAGAGAAGCTTAGAGGCAGGCAGCGGGGGTGAGGGGACAGCAGAGTAGGGGAAGAATCCCAGATAGACAAGGGTGGGACAGAAGTATGTGCAAGGTGGTTGAAATGAGATGCTGTATGTAGAGTCTAGCATGATGTTTGGTGGGTGGGGAGAGAGAAAAGGAGGGAGGGAGGGGAAGAAGAAGGAAAAGGAGGAGAAGGAAGAGAGGGAATGAATGAGAATCTCAATCCTGTATGGGTGAGCTCTCTAGGGGACTTTACTTGTCTTTTTGTGTAGCTCTGGACTGTTTTCTCTTCTCAGTTGCAGTTATTACTTGGCCCCGTTCTGCTTATAATAAGCAGAGCTACCATTTATTAAGAGCCTAAGTGAGTCATATTCATTATAGGTTTTATGTACATTCCCTCATTTAATCCTTACAACCTAAGGCACGTTATTATCCTTATATGCTTCTTTATGGATGAGAAAACTGAAGCTCAGACAGCCTATAACTTGAGAAAGATTGAACCACCTAGTAAGCGGTAGAGCCCAGACTTCAGTCCAGGCTGGTCTGACTTCACATCCAAGTTCTTGACTGCTACACTACCCTGCTCCTCAATTAGACTTCCCTTTGACAGTTTCTACATTTGTAGGAATTGTTCATTCCACTCAGTTCATCTTGTTTCTCATTACTTAGTTATCTCTGTGATAGAACACTTAATTTCATCTGCTAGCTAGATGTAGACAAGAGAATTTTTTCTTATAGACACATTCTCCCTTAGGCATGGAAGCCTTCTTAATATAAAGGTGTGGGCTTTGAGGTTGGTTGGGCCAGTAGGGAATCTAGATTCTGATACTCTTCTGTGACCTGGGGCAAATCATTTAGTTCAAGCCTCATCTTCCTCCTCTTCCTCATCTGAATAGTAAGAATATTATTTCTTTGGTAAGTTGAGGGAGAATTAAAATACAGAAAGTAAGGAAAGTCTCTAGAATAACATCTAACAAATGGCAGATGCGAAAAAAATGGCTGCTTAAGAAACAAAAACAAAACCCTCATTTTATAGACAGGAAAATGGATTTGGAAATGTCTTGCGAGGGGAACAGATGCTCTACTTTCTCTATCCAATTTCCATGATTCTAGCATCCCGTGATGCAAGTTCATTGGAACTACTAAAGGCATTCTGTTATGTGATTTCTGCCTTAGTCAGCTCCGGCTGCAATAACAAAATACCGTGAACTGGTTGGCTTATCAACAACAGGAATCTATTTCTCATAATTCTGGAGGCCAGAAGTCTGAGATTGTGGTTCTAGCACAGCTGGGTTCTAGTTAGGGTCCTCTTCCAGGCTGCAAATGGCTGACATCTCATTGTATCCTCACATGGTGGAAAGAGCTAGATAACTCTCTAGGGTCCCCATTCATGAGGGCGTCATCCTCTTGACCTAATTACCTCTCAAAAGCCCTACCCCAAATACCATCATATCAGAGATTAGGATGTCAACATATGAATTTTGAGGGGGACACAATATTCAGATCATACAATGTCAGTAACAATGTCCACTCAGTATGAAAGATATATTTTCCCTTGAATTAGGAAAAAAGAGTTAATTTTTCACAGTTCCAGATCTGTAAAACAGGGATACTAATACCTGTAGTATAGGCTTGTGAAGATAAAATGTACTAAGACATGTGAAACTATTTTAACAGATATCAAATGTTATATAAATGCTATTATTAAACATTTTTATGTAGTGCCATAAATAAAAGATAGGTGAAAAAGAGGAATGATTGGAATTTTATAACATACAATTGAAACTAAAAAGGATTTTGAAAAATTGGAGAAGTGATCAGAAACAAAAAAATGTAGCTCACATTAAAAAAGCGACATTCAAATAAAAGCAGCAAATGACTTTTAAAAACAGCCTGTGTTCATTACAAATGCAAATAAAACTGAAGACAGTATTTATTGTATTTCTAAAGACAAGTGAAAAAGATGTAGATGAGAATTTAAAAAACAATGCTAAGGACTAGCTTATTAAGGGTGGGGAATGCTGTGCCAGGGTGCGGTTAGGCATAGTTGGGTAAACAGTTGCTTTCACAGGGTGTGCACCGTGACTCCCTGCTGACCAAAAGTATTTTGTCACCCTTCTCCACCGGATGTTACAGTGTCTGAAATTACACCAAAAGATCTAGTCTTCTGGGCTAGGGTTAAATATTGTTATAAGAGTTTATCTATTTAAACTGATTTCAGATCCTGTTTATTTCTTAAGATCACATTGGCACTGGAAGCAGGAAAAATGAGCTCAACAGAGGGAAGGGAAACCTCACACTCTTTATATTTTCCCAAAAAAAGATTTTTCTAAGACAGTCACATTTTCTACAATATAGTACTACCCGTTAACACAGAAGACTGCATGGGGAGCTCACCCTGATTTTGCAAAACTTACAATGTCTTTTTAGTTCCAACAGGAATATAAACCATATATTTATAAAATCTTTATTAAAATATATATTTAAAGTATATATTGTCTTTTTCATAGATTATTTACAAGGAGGTTTACTCAAATCTTCGAAACAACATAGAATATAACAAAAAAAAAATTTAACAGAGAACAATACATTTTAAATGTATTTCCTAAAATAAACAACTAATACTTCTCAGAAAAGGTACAGGATATTTAATTATCTAGATTTTAACAAAATATTCCTTATAGAAAAGGGTTATACTCTTACCACAGAGCCGTCAAATCTGTACCTAATCAAGAGAGTCAAACAGATCAGCTCTCGCTCAGCTTCTCCATTAGAAAACAGGGATTTGACGGAGCTCTTCTGTTAACGTACAGCAGCAGCCTCTGCTGGAGAAAGAAAGCATCTTCCAGAACAAAGCATCAGCTCAATCCTATTTTGAACTGGAAGAACTCAAAAATTAGATTCCTTTCATTTCTCACTTAACCAACAAAGTTAAAATTATTTTCAAGGTCTTAAAGATGTGCGGGCCTTATCAAGTATATCTTTTCTGATTTTGGGGTAAGAGGGATGTGCTTCAAGAACCTGCAAAACAAGCAAACGAAAAACCCATAAGAACTTGTAATTAATTACTGAGAACTAGGGAGTTACAAAGCTTACCAGAAATGAGAATTATAGTTGAGATTTCTTTCCACTAATACTAGAAAAATTATAACATTTTTTAAATGTGACATCTTAAATGTAACATGACCCATTTATATTAATAGTTAATTTGATGAGAACAGTAGAATATGAATAACACATGTGGAAAATATACCAAATATAATTGCTTCCTTAATGAGTTGTAGAAAACAATTATGCTTCAATTTAAAATATTTTTGTTATTTAGCTATTCATTCAGAATATTTAACAAACCTTTAGAGAGTGATATTTAACCAGGAGCACACATTAGATTTACCTGAAATGATTTTGAGACATATACATTTCTAGGTCTACTGAGTGTAGGAGTGAGAAGACATTAGTTAACAACAACAAAAAAAACCCTCCACGAATGATTCTAATGTATTACCTTACATCAATGTAGAATCTTAACCTTAATGAGAAACACTGCTTTACAGAGAGGCTTAGTAATCAATAGCAACTATTGAGGACAAGTATTTACCACAATGATGCTGACACATAACTTTCTGGGATAAGGAGTATTGCAGAATTCTTTTCCAAGGAGCTTTCCCCGGAGCTCTCTACAATGTTTAACATAATGCCTTATATGGAATATCAGTGGGACAATGTATATATAAAGAAACTGCAAATTCTAAAACTGTAGTTTAAATATATCTCATTTTTGTTGGGGATCATTTAGTAGGGGATGAATTACAGAATGTAATTAAATGATTTCCAAATTACAGAATCCCTTTTATCTCTAATTTATCAATCTGAATTTGCTAATAACCAGACTTAGACACATTCACAAGAACTTCTATTCAGGACAATTGCCTGGAGAATCTATACTATTTTCAAATATCTAACTTAAAGATTAAGTTTTATTTAATATGTTTTTCCCACTAGTCTTTAAGTTGACATAAACATTTCACTGTTGACCTTAAAGTAAAAACACATTTGATTTAGATAGACTTTATTATTTTCTAAATTTCAAACACTGATAATCTGTCTGGAATATATTTGATAAGTCATTTAACTAAAATACTATTCACATACATCTTCAGATTCTTAAAGTAGGGAATTGCACACCTGAAAAATTTTAAGAAATCTAAATTTAAGTGTTTACCTGGTGACATACATCAATTGCATCCACATATTTTTTTGCTTTTAAGTAATTAAATGCCAGTTTGTATCCTGTTAAGAAAAAAAAATCCCATAATGATATAGTACTATTTATAAAGCACATTGCTACTATTGCTTTTTCTTGCCTCCTCCTTTGTTTGCTTACTCACTAGAGAACTTGTAAAGAAGGCTAGAGACTTACCTACTGTAGAGAGAAGTGATGTGCTAACAGAAAGCAAGTGACATGAAGGAAGAACAAATAGAAAAAAAAATGGGGCTGGAAAAAACGACCACAGTGAATATACAGTTGGTTAGAAGACTGCCATTCCACAGATGTGGTTTCTGGAATTTACTAGAAAAGTCTGATTTATTTCAAATTATAGTAAAAACTCATCATAGGGCAGCAAATGACAACAAAGCTATCCATTTATATAGTATAGATTTATTTAGCACTTAACACATCAGGCAAACTGATTCCTATAGTCACGAGGTTTACATTCTATTAGGAGAAAGAGAACATTATTTAATAATTGCATGAATAAATGAATAATTTCACAACTGAGATAATGCTATGAAAGAAAGATCCAAGCCAAATGAGTTATAATAAAGAACCTGATTGGGGATCAAGAGGGTGTCAGGAGATGTCTGAAATCTGAAGAGTGAGGCACAAACTAGGCCCGGGTGGGAATCATGGATACGTTCAGGCAGAGGGAGCAGCATGTGTCAAGGCCAGTGGCAGGACACATAAGGAACCAAGTCAACTCGGAATGCGTGGTGAGAAGACATAGCACGCAGGACAGCAACACAGATGCTCCACAGAAATGACCAGTAAGAATCATCACAATTACTGATATTGAAATGTCACACTTCAACTACTGACAATTAGAATGTTTTAAGACATTCATTAATGATTGTTGTTTTCCTGTAGAATGCTATAAACACGAGAAAACTAAAGAGGAGACTCGAAAAGTAAAAGTAATAATAGCTGTGTACTCAAGTAAACAAGATATAATACAATGTAAATTAATATATCATAGTAAATATTTAATTTTACCTCTTAGAAATAACGAAATAAGAGTGCTGCTCTTGAGCTCTAATAAAATACCAAAACAGATTTTTTTAAATTGACAAATAATAATTATACATATTCATGGGGTACATAGTGACGTCAAACAAATATTTGAAAAGAATTACTAACATAATCAGATCATACTAAAACATATACAATCACGTACCACATATGATGGTTCAGTTGACAACAGACCACATATATGATGGTGGTATCATAAGATTATAATACTGTATTTTTAATGTACATTTTCTATGCTTCAATATGTTTAGATACACAAACCAACAGTCTATAAAACACTGGAACTAGATGATGTTTCTAAATGCTCCGGAGAAAAAAAAATGTCTCATGGTCAAATAATTGTGGGAAACATGGCCTCTCTGTGACATCTGCCACAATATACATCAGTACCTGGACAACTTGATTTAATGCAATGTGTTCCTAACTTACCATTTTTGAAATAGCAGAGTGTGAAGGGAGAGAAAGGGGCAGAATTAGACTAGATGTCCTCTAAGGTGACTGAGGAAAATTGTGGACCTCAGGAAATTATACTTAACTATTAGTAGCCAATAATTTACTATGAAAGGTTGACAATGAAAGTTGGCTCTTAATGTATATTTTGTTCTAAAAAAATCAAATGTTTAAATGAAGATTTACAAATGAAATACAATTTTCCTCTGAACACTTAATTAAAGAGTCTCATTTGCTAAACTCACCGACTGCTGGGTTCATCTGATTGCCATGTTTCCATGCCATCTCATAGTTTAAGGCGGCATCTGTATATGCTTGTTCTTTTTCCATAATGTATCCCATATATTCATAAGCTTTGCAGCAAGACTGAAAAAAAAAAGGAAGATGTATCAACAGACTACACTTGATACTACTAAGGTTTTATGGGATGTTTATGACAATAGGGGTCAATCATACTAACCCATTCAAATGGCACATAAAACAATGGTTTCCCACTTTTGTGATGTAATCAAATTATTTGTAGAACTTAATAAATGATTCTAATGCCAAGTCTTTATCTCAAATCTATAGATTCAGGTTTTATTTCTTTACATCATCAGAAATACACATCAGGTCATGTGTATTAAACACATACACAGGTACACTATTTATTATGAATAATTTCAACACACACAAATATAGAAATAGAAGTATAATGAATTCCATAAACCCATAGCTTATCTTCAACAATTAAGTCATGACTAATACTGTTTCACCTGCACTCAATACACCTGTCCTTCTATATTAATAGAAAACAATCCTCAGATATGGTATCATTTCATCCATAAATATGTTAGTATGTATCTCTAAAAGACAGACTTTGTTTAACTGCAACCACACTTTATCACACCTAAAATGCAACAATTTCTTAATAGCAACAAATATCCTGTCATTATTCGAATTTCGAATTGTCTCTGACTCATTCTATCTGTATCTATATATATATATTTTTTAGTTTGTTAGAATGAAGATCCAAATAAGGCCCACACATTGTGACTGGTTGAAATATCTCCCCAAGTCTCTTTTTGATCTAAAAGGTTTCTGCTCTGGCTGTCTTTTTTCTTAAAATTAAACGTAGTAGAAACAGAATATCCTAGAGTTTCTCACAATCCAGTTCAGTTGACTGTGTCCTTGTGGTGTTTATATATTCCTATGTCACTGATATTTGCCCCAAACTGTATTAGATCTAGAGGTTTGGATTTGATTTTGATTTGAGGGAAGAGGGGTGGATCTGCTTAATTGATCAGTGCCCTGATGAGCCACATGGAAGCTTGAGGCAAAAAGAAAAATGCATAATCCCGGATGCATGTTTTAATGTATTTTTTAATTACAAGTTTTTTCCACAACATTAATTTAAAAATATTGAAGAATTGAAAAGTAGGTATATTAAAACACAACATTATTTTAAGATGGAATATTTTATTTATACCTATATCAAATTTCTGATAATTTTATTTTCTTACTTTAATGGAAAAAATTTTATCAATAATATTTTTAAGCAAACCATTAACCATTTAAAAAACATATAAAAATATGAACATAGAGACAACATTTTCCCTTTTGATTCAGGCTACAAAATAGCTTGGCACAACACAGTCAGAACCTGTCTATTTAACATTTTGGTATTTTATTTTTTTTCATTTCTTTTGATTTAAAAAATATTTCATTAAATTATTATTTATCTTGATGACTACATGTTTCACTTGTCTTACCCTAGCCTTGGCCCTCTCATAGATGGTATGTTCTTCCATCAGGAAGCAAAGAATGTCTCCTTCTCCATCTTTTTGTGATGTTATACCCATACATAAATTTACTAAGGTTGAAAAATGGTGATATTCTATCAGTCTTTCTTATTAGCTGAAAAATGTCTGTAACGAGAAATGTCTCCTTATCTATTATTCAGTTACCTAATAGTATAGTTTGTAGAGAAAAGGCAGGATAAATGCTTAATTCTTTCCCTTTATTTGCCAGCTTTAGAAATAATAGTCAGTTTATTAGCATACTGCAGTGGTGACCAGTTAGGTTTTTTTCTTTCTTGGGTCTTTGTGAAGTCGTAGATTTAAATAGATTTGATGTGTTTTAATCTATTGCAGTTGTCATTATTATTGATACTTAAGAGTCCCAACTTTGGCTCCTGTCTTAAAGTTGGCTTCCAAGACCCTGACACAACTCTAATCATCTTTGATAGCTTCTTTGTCATCTAGTATGACAAGATGGTCTAGTGTCATCTTGTACATTTCCTGCCTCAGATCTGGATAGTTTCCATTTTTTTTAATTGAATAATTCAAGGTTCCTAAGCTTTAGTTACTAAATCTCATGCTTCCAATATCAACAGTGTCTAACCAGCAGGGCTGAACAAAGTCTCTAAAGCAGCAATCATGTTCCACCATGCAACGTATTGCTGTCAGCATTCTGGCAAACTGAAATTCTGTGTGCATCAAAACCTTAATTCTCATGCAATCTTGGTTAATTCCAGACTAGACATATAAGGGTCAACTAACTGTTCAGCAATTTAGATTTTCAAAGCATATTAATGAGTATTCTCTGTTTTTCAAGGCCAATTTAACTTAAAAGTGATGTAACTGATCCTTAGAATAGTCTATAAATTGATAAATGGCTGGATCTTTTAGGTTCTTAAGTTTCTAAGAAAGCATCTTAATAGTACTAGATAATCATAAATCCTCTTTGAAAAACAAATGATCCATTTGTAATCTGATTTGCTCAATGAGAATAAAACAGATTTACTGTGACTAAGATTTTGAAGTAATTGGTATGAATCTGTGAAGATAAGTATTGTAAAGTTTCAAGGTTGAGTGCAATTATTTCTCAACAAAAAGTAATGCAAATCTTAACTTGAAAATACTGTTATAATAAAACATGTTTTTTTTGGTGATTAAGCACCAAAACATTAGTAAAAAGCCTTAAATTCTAAGGACTTTAAGATTTTCAATTTTATGTCTAAAGAAAAGGAAGGACTTCTTATTAAACAAATCAAATTAAAAGCTGAAAAGACTTTCCCTCACAAAATATATTATGCATAGTGGATTCCAATAATGTGGAAATGACATGCAGCTGCAGTAAATTCATCAAGAGCATTTCTTAATAGGAGGGGCAGACGTCCACAATTAATGTTGTTCTGCAATTTTCATTAGTTCTGGGATGAGATGGATAATCATAGGCAAATGCTTGACATTCCAAAAACACGTTCCATTAAGTAGGGCATCACTACGGCTGAAACTAGAAACTGCATAAATTTCTCTCTTTTTTTTAGTTTCAAAGGCAAATGGCTTCTTACTTATTGTTAATGTTTCTTTCCTGATTGTGGTAAGAATAAACATTTAATTTTCAAAAAACACACAGGAATGCTTTGAAATGGACCAACACCCTATAATACCTGTTATAGAAAGCTTATGCAACAAAAGTTAACAAGCATTTTTTCCTCTTCAATCACTTACTCTGTTATGACGCAGGCATCGTTTTAACAGCTCTTCCGCCATATCATATTTTGCTGATTGAATATAAATATCAGCAAGTAGCAGCCAACTCTTCTCAAACTCCTCAGCATCAATAGGATTCCAATTCATTTTTGCAATCCGCTTCAGCTGGTTTCTGGCTCTTGGAGTCTGTTTCAAGATCATATATGCCGTTGCCATTCCCAAGAGTGCTGGGATATGATCCTTCTGTAAGAAAATAAAACTTTAGACCACTAGATACACAAATATACATGTCTTCTGTTTAAAAGAAAAACTTGGAAAGTAGAAAATGCTACATCATATAAGAACTAGTCTGTGGATTCTCTTTTTAGCTCTATCACAGATAACTCTGATTATACCCATTATTTAACACATCAAGTGACCTCAAGCTACCATGAAGAAACTTGTTCAGGCATAGTGTGGTCAAGATAATTCAAGACAATAGCAACTATTTAGATGCTCTAACTATGCAATTCCAATAATTAGTGGGAATCCATCTTCAATAGGATTGAAACAGCCAGATATTAGTTTTGTATAGAAACAGAAATAAAATACTTTTTCAGTAAAATCCTTATTGAGCAGTTTGTATTTCAGATTTAACATTTGTCTCCTTAGTTCTTTCACCTGTCAAAGAGGAACAGTGATTTATCTGCAAACGACAATTGTTATCCATACCAACTCCTACTGATCTTTTTTTCCTCCCTTCTCCTTTTTTTCAAAAACCTCTTCTCCCAATAAAGTATGTATAATAAAGTGTTATAGATAAGGCATAGAAATAACTAATCACTTGGAAATTGCACAAAATAAACTCATGCCTTAAAATATGCTTTTAGATTTGGAGTCTGCAGTTCCCTGAAAAGGTCTATAAAGCATGATATTCCTTTAGATGGAGTTCAAAGACAGAATATGTCACTGTGTGAAACCAACAGGTTAATAACAATTGGTATAAGATGGATGTCATTAGCAATCTATTCAGAAAACTAACTTACATAAGCAATAATATGTATAGCCCTGATTAAGCTAGGGTGCTTCTTAAATTTCAGCAGAGAGATTATGATACTTTTATAAAGAGGCAGTCCTCAGCTTAAAATACAAATAAAAGGTGAGGAACTGTGACTTAGAAATTGTAGTATCATGACTATAATAAAGATGCACTGTAAGATAGCAAATTTGGGTAACTAATAAGGACTATTACAAAAGGAGAGCAGACTGGTAAAATGTTCAATGTCCAACACTGATCGTGGTTAAGTCAGAAACAACTCTGTAACAGAGAAGGGCAATTCATTAGGGCTTGATGAAAATGGCTTTTAGGATTTTAATAAAAACTTCTTTGGCTCCAATTCTATGTCTATCAATAAACTTCCAATATGCAGTTTGTTTTCCTAGGTAAGGAATGGCAAAACTGTTTCATGTGAGTGCCAAATCTAAACAGTTGGTAATAGATTTTGAAGACAGGTGTGGGATGTTATCAATTATTGAGCCTCGCCCTCACTATCACCCCCCAGCCCGGGTGGGCTTGGAGTGGACAGAAAATAGAGGTCAGCCGGGTCCTAGGACAGCCCAAGAAGAGAAGGGTCCTGTGAAAAGGTCTCACACTACACATCTAAATTAAGCTCTCTGATTTTAAAACCACACACCTTAAGTTTGGTTAGAATGAAATAGTTCTTCACATCTTGATCACTCCTGAGTGAACTGAAGAATAGTTTTTAAAACTGCAAACCTGAGTACTAACCCCTGCATTACACCAGGATGTCTTTTTTCTGGTGCAGACATCCCAAGACCTTCACCCAGCTTCTCTTTCTCACTCTCAGTCATTCTAAACCGCAGAACTTTAGATTGCAAAGGACAAGATGCAGGTGTGGACAGCATAGCTCTATTATAAACAACATACTCTTACAGTCAAAGGAAAGCCAACAAAACAACACTTCAGTTTGGGCTCAATGTATCTTCCACCATTTCCTCCATGACCTCTCGTCACACACCTCTTTTCAATCCCTCTGAATGACACACAGGGTGAATGTACCCTCTGCTTTTCTGCCCCTTGACTTTGCTCACACCTTCCCCTTGATCTAGAACACACTTTCTCCATTTCTGCCTGTGAAAACGCAATTTATCTTGGTTCTTGATTCAAATCACACCTGTTTCTTAAATCATACCTCTTTTACAAAAGAGCCTCCAAACTCTCCTTATATTGTTTCCTACAGTATTTTTATAATATTTGCAATTCTAGGACAGAATGTAATACATTTTGCATTGTATTACAGTCATTTTAGTCACTATGCTTGTCTCATCTTCGGTAGACTATGTGAAACTTGAAAAAAGGGACCATACATTATTTATCTTTGTGATTTCCACTATGCTTAGCACAAACTGGCTGCTTAATACATATTCATTATATTGAATATATGTGGTCTACGAGTTAAAAGAAAAAAAAATGTGAGATAAAATTTGACGGTTATGAAACTTTAGCTCATACATAATTATCATTTGAATAATATGGTTAGTAAACAAACTTGAAGATAGTATGTTACTAATCACATATGTAAGGATGATTACAAAAAAAAAAAACAATGCAGTCTTATCAACACAGAAAACAGGCATAGTCTTTCTAGGAAATATCTGTAATGTCATTCACTGCTTTTGGCTTTTCTCTCCCTTAAACTTCACAGTAGGAATAATGGATTTACTCAAAATAAACTCTTCCATTGTTATGTGACAGAATGCCACTTCAGAACATTCATTAGCTATGACACCTCACTTGCGACTGCACTCCCTCATGTTCTTAGAGATTTTCTCAGACTTACATGATTGTCCTACTTCTGCGCTCCCTTCATTCAGCAGCTGTCATCCATCTGCTGCACAAAGACAATTCAACAGAGCATAACCCTTGAGAACATTACTTCAAGGTCTGCAGAAAGGCTCTGCTCTAGGAGGTGACTGCTGCTGATTTGTTCCAAGTGTGGCTTACAATGGTAATAAAGCTGCTATCTAGAGACTTGCAGCCAAACCCCTGACATATGAATCTCCTCCAGGGTCGTGGCAGGTGGGAAGAAAGGGATTACTTTAGAGGTTTTTGGGTAGTTTATAGCTAACACTGTGACCTCTGAACCACGACAAAACACAGCAAAATTCTGTATGTCTTCAGAGAACACAAAATTAGAAGTTTTCGGTGGCCTATAGCTGCAGTCCCAAATGTCTGAGCTGCGGACCGATACCGGTCTGTGGCCTGTTAGGAACTGGGCCACACAGCAGGAGGTGAGTGGAAGGCTAGAGGGCTTTACCTGTATTTACAGCCGCTCCCCATGACTCACATCACCACCTGAGTTCTGCCTCCTGTCAGATCAGCAGCGGCATTAGATTCTCATATGAGCGTGAACCCTGCTGTAAACTGTGTACACGAGGAATCTAGGTTGTGCACTCCTTATGAGAATCTAATGCCTGATGATCTGAAGTGGAGCTGAGGTGGTGATGCTAGCACTGGGGAGCGGCTGCAAATACAGATTATCATTAGCAGAGAGGTTTGTAAAATTATTTCATTATATATTACAATGTAATAATAATAGAAATAAAGTGCACAATAAACATAATGTCCTTGAATCATCCCGAAACCATTCCCCCACCCCACCCCACCTGACCGGTCCATGGAAAAACTGTCTTCCATGAAACTGGTCTTTGGTGCCAAAAAGGTTGGGGACCGATGGCCTACAGCATTATAAAGCGAAGAACAAAGATGAAATCCAATAAGCAGGCTTAGAACTAGCTATTACCAACTGCTGATGTGGAGGGTATCTAGAAATCCTTTCTTAATATCAATTAATTAAAGAAATACAACACTGTGTTAGGGAAGAAAAACAGAACACCCAGAGAGTGAGAAAGGAAGTAGATTTGAGTGGAGTGAAAATGGAAGAAAGCCTTTGATTTTATAGGAATACTACTACTAAAATAATAATAATAAAAAAATTGCAGGAGGTTATTTCATTGTTACTATTAATAAAGAACAATATCATTATTTGCATGATTGAATTGTAAGTTGTCAGTATAGATCTCATTTAGCCCTAGACCTGGAAAAATTCCACGTTCACATATGTGAAAGGTGAGATATCAAGGCAGCCCAGGTGTTTATTTTCACTTAGTAAGCTAATCCAGGCTATAGCCACAACACAAAAATTCTCCAGAGGATAAAGCCATTTCCTTGAGAATTAACTTAGCCACTTTTGAAGAATTCCCTTTCCCTAGAATTTAGTAGCAATAAATGTATCAACAACATTTCAAAAAGTAACAGTGTCTCTTCTGGAAACAAAGGAACACTGTATAAAATTACATCAAACTATACATTAATTTTTCATAAGAGTAAGTAAGTTAATTTTTAGAAAATAAACAACTAATCAAATATATATTTCTGCACTATTGAAGAAAGATAACATGAAGTTGAAAAAGAAAATCTACTAACCTCAGATGTTGCTATTTCGGTGAAGGTATTTAATGCTTGCTCAACATTAGATTTCTGTTTGGTAGCCATTAGGCAACAGTTTTCCATTATGCGAAGCTGTATGTGACCCTGAATGGTCTGAGGTTTTAGTTCTTTAAGGAGTTTTTCTGCTGTTCTTACTGCTAATTGCACAGACTCTTGCTTCTCAGATGAATTACTGCATACAATTAAAAATAAATCGCATCTGTCTATTACTCATGATACAATTCATTGAGATTGGAATCAAAGATTTAGGGTACACCAGTTTCTCTTTTTGTTACTCATTTAAAAGTAATCCTTTGTGAAGAATGTCACTCATTCTCTTCTAATACAAAGCGAAGCACAGTTATAATGCATTTTTAAACGAAATAATATAGCTTCAATACACCATTAAACATTAATTCACTTTACATGAAGTAAAAAATCAGACAACATTTACATTTGGTAATGTGTTCATTTCAGCCAATATAAAACTAGAATACAAGTAAAATCATAAAATTATCAAATGGTGTATCTATTCATAAAGCAAAAGGAAAGAAGAGGAGGAAGAAGTGTCAAGCACTGCATGATTTCATTGTATCTACATTGAACCCACTTTACATATGGGAAAACTGAGGTTCAAACAGCTGCAGTAATTTGCCAAAGGTCACACAGCTAATAAATGGCAAACCTGGGATTTGAATTTTAAGTTTGTCAGACATAAAAATCTACTCTACCTTCCTCACCATGTTGCCTATTAGATTCTCAGAAAAGAAATTATGTCAAAATGTAAATTTCAAGTACAATTTGAATAATTAATAGCAATTTTCACATTTTTTATACATACATATATATAAATCAATTAATATTTTAATAAAAGGAAATGAAACTCTCAAAGTTCACTCACTAAAGCCATTGGTCTTTTTCTCAGGCCTTACACTTTTTATCTTCCCTAAAACATTTCACACTGTTAGCTACTTTCTTCAAAGTTCCTCTCCTTTGACTTCTGTAACACTGTACAGCTTTGGTTCTCTTTCCACCACACTGATTGCCCTTTTCTAACCTTTCTTCCTCCTCCAGACCCCTTAAATGTTAGCACACTCAAAATTTAGTTCTTAGACTTCTGTTACTACATTCTGCTTGCAAAGAGGCCATTTATGGAGTTCCAACTATCCACACTATGCAGACGTCTCCCAAAGCTGTATCTCCAGCTGTGACCTCCCTTCTGAGTTCTAGTTTAGTGTTTCGAAATGCTTGCAGAAGACTTCTGCTTAGATGGCCTATAGTTCCATAACAGTATGTTACCTCAAACTTCCTAAAATAAACATAAAATATACATGCCACTTCCCTGCTGTAAAACTTTCGGTGGTCTCTGTAATCCAAGCCTTAAAATCTGTCATCAAAGCCTCCCAGCAATCTAGTTCTAATTTTTTCCCACTTGTCCATGCATCTTTCCTTGAATAGTACACATTATGCATTGCTATGATTCCCACGAACTCCTACAATACTCAATATCCATTCCTGTTTTGTTGCAGCTTGAATGGTTTCAGGTATTGTCTTGTCTCCTAGGTAAATTACATGCTCCTGAAAGGAGAAACTACCTCTTACATGCATGCCCTTTACATCTTTATACACGCCCCACCATGCCTTGCTCAATTCTGAGGAGAGGACAAGCAACAAATGCGGGCTGATATTATAGAAATAACCATTTGCTCGCAGTCTACCACAGCGACTAGCAGGAGCTTTGAGGTCAGGCACAACTCAGTCCAAATCTTGCCTCCATCATTACTAACTATCCCATTAGACTAGGTGACTCAGCTTATATTGTTGTAGGAAACAAATGAGATAGTGAAGATAAAGTATAGAGCACAGAGTTTGGTATGGAACTACCATTTGTTCAGCAGTTACTATCATTATGTGGACAATTTTTGCCATAGTTGTCACATTCTACAACTTATCTTATTCTCAACAGAGTAATGAGGGGAGTGACTTCATAACATGTCTCTTCTGATTTAGGAGGCCTCTTAAAAGCATTTCATACCTGTTTCAGAGAATAGTTATTTTAGCTAAGATTCATACATCTGACCTTTCATTATTGCTATCCTAGAATTTAGTTGTCTTTTGTAAAGTATCCCTGCTTATTATCACCAACAAGTATTTTTTTAAAAAGGGACAATGTGTCAAACGGTACTCACCCCAGGTCTCCATCCAGGTTTTCAAATACCTCACCTCCAATGGTTTCATTATCTGGATTCAAACAGATTTCTATCATATTGTAAAGGGCGTTTTGGCCCCAGTCACTATCTTTCCGAGCTTTATTGAAATGTCGAAGGGCATCATTTGGTTCTCCAGTGTACCTTGTTAATGTTTAAAAAAAATTATTTTAATCACTAATTACAAAATTTATACTAGTTTATAATCTGTTTGGTAAATAAAACTATTAACACATTTTAATGTGTAGATATTTTTGACTACAAAGAACAGCTTATTCTATTTGATCTACAATGAGAAAAAAAACCTATTATATAGGATTTATTTGCCAATAGATTTACCAAAGATATAGTCCTTTACAGTATTGAAATCCTGGCTCCAATTTTGCTCTGGGGTTACATTTCTCAGCCATTAAGAAAAATCTTGGAACATCCTCAAGTTTTCCACATCTTCTTAGGAGATCAATCAAACGAGATAACGTCATATAATTATCTAGAAACAAATAATACTTCAGATATTGGCAACACTTTATATCTTTTGCTTTGATGGTTATAATTCTATTTCATTAAAGTATGATTTATTTCAAATGAAGGACAATTTAAATATAAGTGAAGGAATGGCCAACTACATGATCACTAAATGATATAGCCCAGGCTGGGCTGGTCATAGCAAGATAAGGTTCTGAACAGGCAAATCTAGAAAAATGTATAATTATTGTAACTTACTTTTCAATTGTTCGATTATTCTAGAAACAGTTTCTACCTAAGTAATCTAGACTCTGACTCTGTAATTTAGAAGAACTGACAATTGCAGAGGGTAGGTCACTGATCTGAGATCCCCTTTCCAACTTATCGCAGCTTAGAAGAGGGTGAGCACAGTGCATTTTGATAATAATGTTTGGAGTGGGCAATAAAAAATTATATTCCAGACTTTCTTTAATATGTACATATACCTAACATACAGACACTAGCTTACCATACTGCAACCTTAACACATTAGTCTCAGTATTTCAATCTTATTTCACTTTCTTCTAAGGAAAAAGAATTAACTCAGCTTTTTGGTTTCAGGTATAATTTCCTGGTCAGTTCCTAGAATGCCTTCTCTCAATTCTGTCCAGTTCTTCTCTTATCACTAACATACTAAGTTTTGAGAATAATTTAATAAATATTTTTTAGGATTATAAAAGTAATATATGGACACTTTAAAAATCAAGGAAAAACAAAAATATAAAGAAGAAAAAATCACCCATATTTCCATTTAGAGATTATCACATTTTGGTGTGCTTTCTTTCCTATATTTATGAGTGAAAACCAATCCATAAATACTTAAATGTAAACAAATACATATTTTTGCTTACATTTACACAAAAGTAATCTTTGCTTCCATATATATAAAACTGGAATCACAATGGGGTTTTGACTTAAATTCAGCATTATATAGTATATATTTTCTAGTTGTCATTCAATAGTTTTCCAAGGCATGATTTTAATGGCTGCATAATAATCTATTTTACTGATGATTCACATTTTATTTATTTCTCTATAGTTGTGTTTTTTTGGTGTTTGGGCTCTCAACTTTCAATTAGCACAGAACTAGGGATTTGGAGAGGATTTGTAGAAATCTTTATATAAGCTACTCTGATCACTTTCCTAGGATTAAAACACATGAACAAAAAAACCATTTTAAAGCAATTTTCCTTGATTCCATTTTCCAAGAAAAGAGAAGATACCATATGATTCAGCAATTCCACTTTTGGGTATATACCCCAAAGAATTAAAAGCACGGACTCAAACATATTTGTATACTGATGTTCATAGTAGCGTCATTCACAATAACCAAAAAGTGCAAAGAGTCCAAATGTCCATCAACGTGTGAATGGATAATCGAAATGTATATCATACAAAAATAGAATTCAGCTTTAAAAAAGGAAAAAAATTATGACATGTCCTACAACATGAACTTTGAAGACATTTTACTAAGTGAAATAAGCCAGACACAAAAGGAAAAATGCTGTGTGCTACCACTTATATGAGGTACCTAAGAATAGACGAATTCATACAGTTAGAAAGTAGAATGGTGGTTGCAGGGGCAAGGGGGAGGGGGAATGGGGAGTTAGTGTACAGAGTTACAGTCTGGAATGATGAAAAACTTCCGGAAATGGATAATGGCAATGGCTTATGTGAATAAGACATTTTCTAAAGTAGTGGTGGCAGTGGGATGCAGGTTTGCTTTTGTTCCCCTCCAAGGTGGATATATTTTATACTGTGTCAGGAAAGACAGAGAGAAGGGATAAGGTAAAGTGCATTATGGGCAAAAGGAAAAAATCCACACAAAGACTTGGTGTGGTTGTATGTCATTTGGTATTGTTATAGTACAAGAGCCTTATACAGAATTTATAAACAATTGATTTTAGATTTGCTTATAAACAGTACAAAACAGACAGACAATTTAACTATTATTTGGAAAAACTGCTTGTACCAAATAATAGAAACTTAGGTGAAACAAAACACATGAAAAATGAAGGCTTCTTCAAATCATAAAAAACTATAATGTGTGACAATATTGCCAAGAATGGCTTAAAAAGGTTCACAATGGAAGAGGTCTGCTTTTGAAAGAAACAAGGTTAGATCATCGTCTCAAAGAGGAAGGCTGTGAAATGGGAACAGCTGGAGATAGGATGAAAATATTATGTGTATTACCTTTAAATGGTAGCTGAGAGAAAGAGAACAGGACAAAACAGAGCCTGAAACTCAAGGTAGGAACGTCAGGAAAAAAATGACAGAGAAAACAAGAGCAGGTGTGGGCATTGTGCGTGGGGAGACGGGCCACATTCTGGACTCAGAGGGAGTAGGAGGGGTAACATGGACAAGTACAAACACATTAAATGGCCTATAGTAGTCCAAAGGTGAAAAAACTTTTACAAACTAATAAAAATAATAAAGAGAAATTAAAATGTTGATATTACTATTACAAAAACAGATCATATTTTTTCCTTTCAATCTTTGCCCCAACTGGGGATATTTTATTTGTAAGTGGACAGTGATGTTCTCTAAATTTAATTTTTTTTATTAAAAGCATTAGTAAATTTAACATGTAGGGCATATCTGGTTCTTGAGTTGGCCTGCTTTAAGTATAGCCAACTCTGTGTCTATGTAGCTCTACCCAGGCAGTTCTGACAGCCTATGGCACCATCCTGAGATGAAGGCACTAAGGTTTGGAACTGACACAGTTCCAGGACTTTCCCCTGCAATTTCAAAATCTTTTTTTTTTTTTTTTTTTAAGACAGGTTCTCACTCTGTAGCCTTGGCTAGAGCGCAGTGGTGTCATCACAGCTCACTATAACCTCAAATTCTTGGGCTCAAGCAATTCTCCTGCCTCGGTCTCCCAACTAGCTGGGACTACAGGCACACGCCATCATGTCCAGCTAATTTTTTTATTTTTTGTAGATACGGGGTCTTGATATGTTGCTCAGGCTGGTCTCAAACTCCTGTCTTGGCTTCAAGTGATTCTCCTACCTCAGTTTCCC